AGGCCATTGTGAGGGGAGACGAACGGCACCGATCAGCTCCCCGAGCGCTGCCTTGGGATGGACCCTGGAATGCGAGGAGTCCAGGGGAGCCGAATAGAGACTGGCGACCTCTGTGGCCGCCTGCATGGCCAGCGACTCATCCAGGGCAGCTGGGTTTGTCGGGGAGAGGGCGTCATCCTCTGAGGGCATCGCACTGTCATCGACCAACAAAACTCTTCGCTGCTGACTGGGCGGGCCCCAGGCGGGAGGAGGGCGAGGCGGCGGGGGCGGGGGAGGAGGCAAGACTGAGGCGCCGGTGGACTGTCCAGGGACATTAGGGAGTGGCCCGATGGTCGATTTTGCTCGCATCCGGTTCCCGTCGCCGCCCTCGGACAGCCTGAGACCTTCTCTTGTGGCGCCCCGCCTGTCCATCATGTGAGTCCGCACCCTCTCCGGGTCCACCCTGGTGCCCCCGGGGCAGTTGTACGTTGACGGATCGTCCCAGAGGGGGTAGGTGGTGGGCACGTGCAGCGCGTCAAGAATTGGCATCAAACCATGCGCAACATATTGCTTCGCTCCCACTTGCGGCTCGCTCCGCTGCAACCGTGTGCACCGGAGGCACCCAGAACTTGATCGGCTCCCATTAGCGGATCGCCGCTCCGCGAATTGGCCTCACACCATGTGCACTAGCGAACAATCGATATAACCCATGTGGTACAACTTGGGTACCACTTGAGTCATATAGCTTCCATCCAAGTGGGAGATATCGCGAGAAGCTCCCAAAAGGCGTCCCAACAGACCCCGACAGGCATCCAAGACGGTGCACGACCCCAGCACGGTGGCGAGATGGGCTGGGGGACAATAGATCATCATCAGAATCCTCATCATCATCATCATCATCATCATCAGCAGCAGCAGCAGCATCATCATCATCATCATCATCGTCATCAGAATCATCATCATCATCATCATCATCATCATCATCATCAGCGTCACCATCATCATCTACATCACATCATCAGCTCATCAGCATCATCATAACCAGCTTTATCATCATCATCATCATCATCATCATCATCATCATCATCATCATCATCATCATCATCATCTTCATCAACAACAACAACAACATCAGCATAAGCATCATCATCATCAGCAGCAGCAGCACCATCATCATCGTCATCATCATTATCATGAAGAGCATAATCAGCAGCATCGTCATAACCATCAGGAAGCATCATCATGATCATCATCACCCTTACCATCCTCATCAGCATCATCATAATCATCATCTTCATCATCGCCGTCGTCATAAACGTCCTCATCGTCGTCAACATCATCATTATCATCTTCAGCATAATCATAATCAGCATCATCATCATCGTCGTCATCATCATCACCATCATCGTCGTCATCACCATCAGCAGTATCATCAGCATCATCATCATGACCACAATCGTCATCATAATCAGCATCATGATGATCATCAGCATCAGCATCTTCGCCAGCATCATCATAAGCATCATCATCATCGTCATCATCGTCATAATCATCATCAGCGCCACCATCATCATCTACAACATCACATCATCAGCATCATCAGCATCATCATAACCAGCTTTATCATCATCATCATCATCAACAACATCACATCATAAGCATCATCAGCAGCAGAACCATCATCATCGTCATCATCATTATCATGAAGAGTATAATCAGCAGCATCGTCATAACCATCAGGAAACATCATCATCATCACCCTTACCATCCTCATCGGCATCATCATAATCATCATCGTCATCATCGCCGTCGTCATAAACGTCCTCATCGTCGTCAACATCATCATTCTCATCTTCAGCATAATCATAATCAGCATCATCATCGTCGTCATCATCATCACCATCATCGTCGTCATCACCATCAGCAGTATCATCAGCACAATCATCATGACCACAATCGTCATCATAATCAGCATCATGATCATCAGCATCAGCATCTTCGCCAGCATCATCATAAGCATCATCAGATGCATCAGCATGAGCAGCAGCAGCACCATCATCATCACCATCATCATCATCATCACCGTCGTCATCATCATGAGCATCATCATCATCATCATCATCATCATCATCATCATCGTCATCATCATCATCATCATCATCATCATCATCATCATCATCATCATCATCATCATCATCATCACCGTCATCATCAGCAGCAGCAGCAGCATCACCATCACCATCACAACCCATCCTCCCTCCCCCCTTCCCCTCCACCCCCTCATCTCCCCACACACCCACCCTCCCCATGCACTCCTCCCTCGTTCTCCCCCCTCCACCGCGTCGTCCTCCTGTTCCCAAGCTCAGGATCGCGCCCAGCGCCTCCGCGTGGCTCCTGAGGCGCACGCCGCAGGCCCGGAACTCCTGTTCATCCTGGAGGGCGCTGGCGAGACCTGGGCAAAACTGCAACCGGCCGAAACGTTCGCTGGGCAGGCTCCACGGAACGCATGTGTAGGTACTCGGTTGCCGGTTATCTGCTGCTCACGCACATCTTCTGCTGTGGGGCACCAAGCCAATTTGATGCTGCAAGATCTCGTTCGTGTGCCCAGTGGTTGCCCGTTCGGGCCTCGCGGTGCGCCTGCGTACCATGTTCGTCTTGCTGTTCGAGAAGCGTTCCCACTAAGCAGTGAACTTGGCGCGGAATTCGACAGCAAAGAGTGACACAAAGTCGGCCAAGAATCATATCGGCGATACGGGGGAGGGGAGGAGGAGAGGGGGAAAAGCGGAGGAGCGAGGTGAACAGGTAAGCTAAACTGGCTCCTCAAAGCATCAAAGCATAGATTGGCCAGCTGTCCCGCGAACGTGGCCGAAATTGCCCTGACTGGCGTCGACACGGCAATGTGACTGTGTAGCCAGCGGGGCCCAGAACCGTGAATTACCACGTGCCCTTGCGCAGATGGGCAGGAGGAGGAAGAGGACGAGGACAAGGACGAAGACGAGGAGCGAGACAAATATGAATAATGCCGAAACTTATTGCGCTACCCGTGCTAGTCTCACAAGTGCTCATCCGCAGGTCCCGTCAACAGCCAGGAAAAAACGAGCGACGGAATGAACAGTGGAGAAGAGCACCCACGAGGACACGACAGAGAGAGAGAGAGAGACGACGACGACGACGACGACGACGACGACGTCGACGACGACGACGACGACGACGACGACGACGACTACGACGACCACGACGACGACGACGATGACGACGACGACGGCGTCGGCGACGACGACGACGACGGGGAGATGAAAACTCACCCGATTGCCCACAGAGCGGCTCGGCGCCCCTCTAACGGGGACTCCACAAACGGGCACTTTGGCCAGTGATCCGGCGAGCCCAACCCTCCCCGATGTGGGCGACGCTGCAGTGCCCGAGAGAGGCCCGAAAGCGGCAACCTTCGGCCAATCCCCGAAGCACCCGTTGGTGAATACCCGCTGCGGTGCCGCGGAGCGGCGACAACGGCCGCAGGCCCGGGAGGAGGAGGAGGAGGAGGAGGAGGAGGAGGAGGAGGAGGAGGAGGAGGAGGAGGAGGAGGAGGAGGAGGAGGAGGAGGGGAGGAGGAGGAGGAGGAGGAGGAGGAGGAGGAGGAGGAGGAGGAGGAGGAGGGAGGAGGAGGGAGGAGGCTCGCGTGCCTCTCGTGGCCTGCAGGGCGCGCCGGCCCCAGGGACGACGGCGGCGCCGAGCGCGTGCCCGAGGCCGAGCCGCCCCGTGGCGGCGGCACGGGCCGGCGCCCGAGGCGCCGGGGCGCGCGCGCCGCGGCCTCCCTGCCGCCAGCGCGCGGCAGAGGCACCCCGTCGCTCTGGAGAGCAGGGGCGCACGAGGAGGGCGCAAGGATCGAACGGGGCCCCAGGACGCACACAAATAGATACACACACACACACACACACACACACACACACACACAAATAGCAGGCTTCCCCGTGTCTTCCCAGATCTTCTGGGCTTTTTGCCTTTCCCCCCTCCACTTCCCATAGTTTCCCGCATTTTCCTGGGACTCGACGATGAATTGTGTCTGTGTGTGTTTTTGTTCCCTCCTGAAGGATGCGCGGTGAGGAGGCAAAAGCCTTAGAGGGCCCACGTTACTCCAGGTCTCTCAAGAAGCGTGGGAGGGTGGATCACGTGGGGGGGTGGGAAGCCGCCGTCCTTTGGGGGGCGTGGGGAGGTTGGGGAGCGAGAGGGTTTGGGGCGCATGGGGGGGCGGGCAAGGGGCGTCGGACAGGTTGGCACGGGGGGGGGGTGCTTATTGAAGGATCTGGAGCAACGTTTTTCGAACGAGACCGGCCAGCGAGAGTCGCTGAGGTTGTTGGGCCACAGGGGCAGGGATGCAAGGGCGGCCCTGGAGCGCTGCCCACTGTGTACTTTGCGGGTTGGCTGCTGTGCGCATGCCAGTCGCACCAAGTCGCGTTGCGCATCAGCTGGTCGGTGTCGTCGCAAATGGTACGGTGCCTGGCCAGCCGCCGGCTGACCTGCGGGCCGCCCTTTTAACGTGGCTTTTCCGCAGGTACACCCGGCACCTGGCGGCCGAAGCGATGACGCTGGCCGCAAGCAGTTTCCAAGGGAATTCCAACACCGTCAAGTTGCACATGACTGCAGGCGTAGTTCGTGCTCGTGACTCTCATGGTGGCTGGTCGCGGAGATTGTTGTGGATATCACATCGTGATAGCCTCCACTCCACTTCATTCCTCCCACTCCACTCCATTCCTCCATGCCCCCTCATCCTCAACCTCCCATTCCTCCTCATCATCCTCCTCCCTCTGCTCCTCCTCTTCCTCCTCCTCTTCGATTCTCTCTCCTTCCCTCCACCCCCCTCACCATCCTCCTCTGCCCCCTCCCCACCTCCTGCTCCTCATCCTCCTCGCCCCCCTACGTCGACACCAACGACGACCACGACCACGACCACGACCACGACGACGACGACGACGACGACGACGACGACGACGACGACGACGACGACGACGGGCACGAACCGAAGC